GGGCAACACAGTGAGACACCATCTCAAAAAAAAAGGCTCGGCTGTAGCTCTGTGGTATAGCACTTACCTAGCGTGTGTGAGTTCCTGGATTTGTTCCAAAGGGCAACACTTACCCTCACCAAATTAAAAAAAAAACAAGTCTCAACTCAGCAGCATAGTAATTAGCACTTCCTTTCTTCAGCTTAACTCTGCACAAAGCAGGAATGTTTCTTTTCTTGTCATTCCAAAGGTGAAGTTGAGCCATAAGGTACTTTACTGACAGAATTCTTTTAAGTTAATTCTCTCCATCTGCTCGAACAACATCAGCCTCTGCTGCTAAGTCTTAACGGTAGGTAGCAGTTGATTTTTGTTTTTTAATTCCTCAAAATAAAATGTTAAATACGTCTCTCATTTTGCGTCTCTGGCTTAAAAGCCTTAGTGGTTTTCCCAGTTTTATTTCATAAACATTTACCGAATGCTGCTTCTCTGGCATATTCTGAGGCACTGTTTTTTGGTACTAGGGATATAAACATGACTGTCATGTGGCTTCTTTCCTCACAGAGCTCATAATTTAGGAAGGGAGACAGATGAGTAAATAACTAACTCCAATCCTGCTTGATAAATGCCACGTATAAGGCTGTGAGCGAAGTGCCCTGGGAGCACCAGCGAGTGATTGATTTGGGTGGACGGGGGCTGGGGTGGGGATCAGGAAGGGCTGAGCAGCAGAAGTGACATTTGAGTGGAGCCTTAGGGGAGGAGTAGAATTCTGGCAGATGGACAGAGGGGCGGGGGTGGGGACACTTGAGACTCATGCAAAAACATGAGAGCGTGAAAGTTTGTTCCTTTGTTTGAGTGATAGTGAGCAGTGTGTAGGTCTGAGGGGAAGCAGGATGTGGAAGGGGGCGTGGCGAGCATGCTGTCACGGAGGTCAGGGGGCCATCTTGCAAAGCTTCTGCTTGACCTGTAGCTTCTTGGAGCCAGAGACATTTTCAAACGGGGAGCTACATGGTGAGATCCGAGACAGACAGACAGACAGACAGACAGACAGACAGACAGACAGAGGTCTGGCATCAGAATGTGAGATGATTTGGGAAAAGGTGAAGGTGACCAGGAGCAGGGACACCAGTTGGAGGACCTTTGTCAGAGTCCACACAGAAGATGAGAGTCTGCACGGGTATGATGGCACATACCCATAATCCCAGCACTTGGGAGACTGAGATGGGGGGATCATTAGGAGTTCAAGATCAGCCTGGGCTACAGAGTGAGCTCTAGGCCAGTCTGAACTGTATAGGAGACCCTGTCTTAAAAAGACCAAAAAAAGAAGGAGAAGGAGAATGAAGAGAAGGGGGAAGGGGAGTGGGAGGAGGAGGAGGAGGAGGAGGACACTGATGGGGCCTGGGGGAGAGGAGACAAAGGTCAGGCATGGGTGACTTGCTGACCAAAATGGAGAGCAACAGCTTTGCAGTGAAAGTAGTGGATTTGACTTGGGGTGTGAGTCTGGAGAGGAGTGGGAGCTGGCGATGACTACATGAGAGGGTGCAGGTGCAGATAGAGCTCCTGTGGGAAGGCAGCGTAACCAGCATAAGCAGTGCATCTTTAACACAGTGATTTTCAAGCAGGGTAAGGGGTGTGAGGGCATGCCTTGTCTGAATTTTTATTTGGGGTTTCTTTCTAAACTATTTGTGGGTTATCTCTCTCCTTACCCCAGACTCTCACGGTTTTTCTAGGGACCACTGTATATTAACAAGTACCACTCCAAATGTTGAGCGTAAAAGCTGATGAAGAGAAAATGCATATAGAAGACACGTGTGATCTTCACGTCGCCTTGCTTGCTTAGTGGTGAAGCTCGTCCATTGCTGGAATTCCCAGGAAACTTAAAACATTAGCAAAACAGAAACACCAAAGCAGGGGTGGGAGGCAAGTTCAGCTGTAGGAGTAAGATGACCCTACACTTATTTATTTGTGGTACCGGTGATCAAATTCAGGACCCTGTGCTTGCCAGGCAGGTGATTATGCCGTTGAACTATATCCCCAGCCCGTGTTGTTATGTTTAATGTTAATATGAAATTATGTCTATGTTGTCACTTTTATTCTCCAGTAGATAGTTTAAAATATTTCATACATTCATGTGGCTGAAATCCTGATTTGTCATTTTGTTTTTTAAAATTGCTAAAAAAATTCACATTTAGGGCTGAGGATGTAGCTCAATGGTAGAGTGCTTGCCTAGCATGCACAAGGCCCTGGGTTCAATCTCTAACACCACTAAGAAAAAAAAATTCATGTTTTTTTTTTCCTCTCACATACTAGTTTTTGTGTACATGTGAAAGACTAAGCTTGTGACTTCACTGAGGCTGAGTAGATGGTGTTTTGAATGAATGAGTGAATGGTTATCATGAAGCTACATCTCTAACCCATCGATGTTAATTTTTAAGTTTGTTCTAAGTAGCACAACAGCCAGCAGTGGGCCAACTCTACCTTTGAGGTCCAGTGTAACCAGTCACAGAAACTCATTTGTATGGATGCTTATGTCTTGTGGCACACCTTTGAGGTGACTGCAGTGCCCCGACCCAGGCTTTTGCTATGAGCCATGGTGGATGCTGTGTGGTTCTGTTTTTTTTTTTTTTTTTTCCCAGAACTGGGGATTGAACTCAAGCCCTTGCACTTGCCAGGGAAGCGCTTATTCCACTGAGCCATCTCCCTGGCCCCTCTGTTTTGACAGAAGTTGTCTTTGTGCAATGGTTTAAGAGCTAAGAAGTGTGCTCTGATTGCAAATTTCCTTTCTTATTGTTTTTTTCCTGTTTCTTAAAACCAGGTAAAATTGAATAATTATTATAGGCAATAAATCCAGACTCTTGACATCTTCAATTCTTGGGGCCAGTCTTGTAAAGTAAGGTTTGAAAGAATACATCTGTCTTTTTGATCAAGTAGAAGAAAATCACACCTCTGATTGCTGTGTTAACTGGTACATTTGCATAAGAGAGACTGGCTGTGTGCTTAGAATCAGTCCAGGGGATCGCAGATTCTTCCAGTTTGGCCCGGGTTTGTTTCTTGGTACATATTTTATGTTTTTTATTGAATACAAAGTGCTAAATGAAAAATGAAATTCATATAACTATTTGAGATAGTTATTAAATAGTAATTCTTTAGTTCCTCTTCTGTGCACAGTGTAGTAATCAATATAATCATAGTTAACTTATTGAATGAGTATTTTTCCCTAGGCACAACTTGATCATTTTTCATGTCCTGTACCCCACCCCCAACACCGGAATAAAAATGGCTCTTGTGACCGGAATCTGTGGTTTGTCTAGGCAGAGATTGTGGTCTGTTTTGTCTATTGTTTGGTTTTTCTTTATCCCATTGACTGGAATAGTGCCTACCACAGAATTTGTACTGAATAGATTTTTTTTTTTTAATGAATGACTCTTAATCCCCCTAAAATTTCTCTTACTGTTCATTTGTTGGGAGGGGGGATAGGCTGCTAGCTGTTTACTTCCTATCAGGGAACAATGCAGTGCAGCAAAAGGTGATTTTCAGTTTTTGTTTTCTATCTAGTGGGCAGGAAGCTTATCTATATGCAAGGTTAAATAGGGTAGCAGTTCCTTCAAGGCAATGGGAGAGACTGACAGGAGAAGAATCATACCTAATGGAGAAGTGAGTCAACTATATAAATCCCCCGGAGCCATGCCTGTACATCGCTGCTGTTTATTCTCTGCTGACTATTTCTGTTACCACTGCTACTTGTAGCATCAGTGTTTCCAGAATCATTTTTGTGAGTTTCATGAGAACTAGAAAGTGAATACTCATCTGTGTGTTGAAGTTATCAGAAATAGCCATTTCAACCTGGATGAAATGATCTTTCTGGGCTGGACAGAATATGAACAGGTTGGGGCAGGAGACGGGGAACTGAGATGAAGAGTCCTGTAAGCAGGGGGTGAGGTGGAAATTGCGTGTTCTCTGCTCCTTGGATAGCAAGATCAGTATGTCTGGTGCAAAGGGGGCACATGCTAGAAGGAGTAAGATTAAGATGGATAATTTGAGGGTCGGCCGGATAGCTCAGCGGACTAAAGTGCCTGTTTAGGCAGAGCGCATTGACCTGGGTTCGATCCCCAGTGTGCCGTGCCAGCCCCACCCCTGAGGTGTGCTGAGACAGCAAATGGGACTGGGCGTGGTGGTACGCATCTGTAATCCCAGCGCTTGGGAGCCTGAAAACAGGAGGATCACTACAAGTCTGATCTATGTAGTGAGACCCTGTAGTCCCTGTAGACCATGTACCAAATGCATTAAAAAAAAAAAAAAAGAAAAGATGAATAATTTGAATGTCGCTTGTGTTGTGACTTCTACATTATATTCACAAAGTTGGATTTGAATCTCTTATGTGTTTCTGTCTGTGAAAAACTAAGTATCCTTTTAAAATGTGTTTTTATTAGTTCATATTAATTTTATGAAATATTGGGTTTCAGTGTGGTGTTTTTATATATGCATGTAACATTTTGAACCAACTGATATTTAATGAGACCTTATATGGCCTCTTCTTTATGATGTAATTTATAATCACAACATTGTATCTACTTGAGAAATAGTATCTGTACCTTTAGTGTCACATAGCCCATGAGATTAAATTTTAATGAAAAGTCTACTTCCACTGGGTTTTGTGGTTTTGAAATTTAAAGAGCCTCATTCGCCCGCCTCTTCTGTGATTATTGAATCAAATATATCATGGAGAATTAGCCCGAGTACTATGTTCTCCTCCCGTGTCTTTCACAGGCTGTAGACTGCGGCCTAGATTTGTTCCCTATGCGACCTTATGTAACACCATACTCACAGTTCATGGCAGCACTTCATCACGTCTTGCATAGCTCCACACGAAACCACATACAGTTCCTGGCATAAGCTAAAGGTGCAGTACATTGTGCAGTTGAATTTTAAAAGCATACAAGGCTGGCCATCCCAGCACTTGTGGGAAGAGTCTGCAACTGAGCCATAGTTTTTGAGATGTGTAACACTTTCTGTGTTGTTCTCAGGTCCAGCCTGATGAAGGAAGAAGCTACGCGAGGAGCCCCCAACCCTTGGCTCTTTGAGGAGGCAGAAGAGACAAGGGGCTTGGGATTTGATGAACTCCGGCAACAGCAGCAGAAAATTATACAAGGTACTAATACCCAGATGGTGGGGCCTAGAAACTTGCCATATTGTATCTGTATCTTCTTAGGTTCTTATCCCTATAGAAAACTGCAGTGAAAAACTTTTTTTTTTTTTTTTTTTTTTTTTTTTAAAGACAAGGTCTCCCTCTGAGCTCAAGATGGCCTTGAACTCACTATGTAGTCCAGGCTGGCTTGGAACTTGTAGTCATCCTCCTGCTTCAGCCTCCTAAGTGCTGGGATTTCAGGTGTATGCCACCACGCCCAGCTCAACTGTTGATGTGCTCTTGGTATTTTTGTGCCTCAGAATGCTCGAGGGATAGAGGGCTGCTATCACTTTTCTTGGTAGCTGATAGAAGTGATTTTCCACTAGGTGAGAGTAGAGAGAAGAGATCTCAGTCTGATAGGTCCTGATGAATTTGATTCATGTGCTCTTGATTTTTCTCCAAACACACATCTCAGTCTTTTTCTCCTTCTGTAAAGTAAGTCATTTTGGCTTTTACCTTCCAAGTTTGTCTTGTCCAGGAGCTTTTAAACCAGCCAATTAGTTTTAAGCTCCTATTTTTAAATTTCAGAAGTAATACAAGGGGCCAGGGAGATGGCTTAGTGGAATAAGCGCTTCCCTGGCAAGTGCAAGGGCCTCAGTGCAATCCCCAGTTCTGCCAAAAAAAAAACCCAAAAAACAAAAAACAAAACAAAAAAACAGAAGTAATACGTATTTGCTGTACAAAGTTTAAACAGTACAGAACAGATAAGATGGACAGCTCTCTATATTGTTTCTCTGGTCTCAAACTGAATGGATTGTCATATATTTCCTTAGACTTTTTTTGGTGTGTGTGTGTTTGTGTGTGTGTGATTAAACTGTATGACAAAGGGCCAGTGAGATAGCTCAGTGGACCAAGCGCCTGTTTAGGCAAGTGCAGGGACCAGAGTTCAATCCCTGGCACCACATGCCACACTGGCCCTACCCCTGGATATATTGAGCCAGCCACCAGGACTGGGCATGGTGACGCATACTTGTAATCCCAGTGCTTGGGAGGCTGAAAACAGGAGGATCACTATGAGTCTGAGCTGCATAGTGAAACCCTGTACCAAATAGATAAAATAAAAATAAAACAAAATAAAATAAAGTGTATGGCAATGTTTAAATAAAAGAACTTGGGGCCAGGGAGATGGCTCAGTAGAATAAGTGCTTCCCTGGCAAGCATAAGGGCCTGAGTTCAATCCCCGGTTCCACCAAAAAAAAAATAAATAAATAAAATAAATAAATAAATAAATAAATAAATAAAAGAACTTATTACAGTAAAAGAGATATTGCCATTTAAGCCCCTCAAAAGTTTTCTCTCTCTTTGAGCACACTTGTTCCATTGTTCTTGCTACCTTCCAGAGCAGTTCTAAAAGTCCACTTACGAGAGTGTTTTTATGATGTGGTGATCAAAACTTCAGTGAGGGGCTGGGGAGATGGCTCAGTGGAATAAGCGCTTCCCTGGCAAACGCAAGGGCCTGAGTTCAATCCCTGGTTCCACAAAGACAAAAACAAAAACAAAAAAAAACTACAGTGAATGCTGCTGCTGAATGCCATCCAGTGGAAAGGGAGGCTTGCAGAAGCATGTGGTATGTCCTTGTCCGCCTTGGTGGTGGGTCTGACAGCTGCAAAAGCATGACTAATAGCACGAAAGAGGACTTGCTCAACAGCTTCAAAAAATGGCAAGCTAGGGCTGTGGAGATGGCTCAGTAGAAAAAATGGCAAGCTAAAGGGAGTCACATGGAGTGAAAACGTTCTCTCAGGCTTTCGCAGAGAACAAGTTGGTCAAGCAATGGCCGTGACTCATCCACATGGCTGACACTGACAAAGGATCTACAAACTGCAGTACAGAGCTTCAAGATAAATCCTGAAGGGGGTGCCAGGGAGATAGCTCAGTAAGGTAAACACTTGCCTGGCTAAGCACAAGGGCCTGAGTTCAATCCCCAATTCCACAAAACAACAACAACAACAAAAAATCCTGAGGGGATTTGACTGACTTTGTCAGATACAAAAGTTACATTTCTTGTTATATAGGTTTTGCTTTATCTTGATCTTAACCATCCAGCAGAAAAGTATAAAAACGAAATTTAAAAAAATAAAGCCATATTAATATGCTGAGCTGTAAAAGACTCAAGTCAACAACTTCTGACATTGCCAGTCCTACGGAAAACCCACTACTGTTATAGACTACTGGACTGTATTGGAATATTTTGCTGAATTCACACACCTACAATATTTAAATGACAATGGAATACCCTTCTCTGACAAAACTAAACAAAAAAAGGGATACAAATGAAGGACCATTTTTGTATCTGTATATTCAAAGGTTAGGATAGATGTGCAGTTACTTTTTCTTAATTCAGTGAATAGAAAGATTTGTTCTAATAGTGTTTGAGACAGGATATCATGTCTGCATCTTGTACTATGAATAACCACTAAGAAGACAACAATATGCAATGTATTAATTATTGAAACTATCCTACTAATTGGTTTTGAAACTGTCTCATTGCTATTTCTCAATAAAATTATTTTAAAAAGAGAAAAAAATGACAAGAACAATACATGTGCTCAAAGCAAAAGGAAAGTATTTTGAGTGTAGCTAATGACATTGCTTTATCTTGGTCTTAACCATCCAGCAGCAAAGTATAAAAATGAAGTATAAAAGGTAAAGCCATATTATTATGCTGAGCTGTATTTTACTGAAATAATTTTTTTAAAAAACATTAAATTCAAGCCATATATTCAGTATAAACATATACTTTACACAAGTGGGGTCATGAGGTCTGTAGCTGTATATGTAATGTATAGGTGTGTTTAGAGAAAAATATATGTATTCCACAGCTTTTAAAAAACACTAAATATCTGTTACAGATAATTTTTTCATGGTAGTCTGTACAAATAAGTTTACTTTCTAATTTTACTTTTCAAAAAAGCTTTATTGGAGTATACTTAACATCATAAGCAGCACATATTTGCAATGTACAATTCAGTAAACTTTGACATATGTATACACCTATTAGATCATGACTACAATGAAAATAACAAAGAGAAATATGGATATAACATTCGCTACCTTCCTTAATAGAAACGTTCTTCTTGTCTCCGTAATTCTTCCTGTTGTCCCTCCCCCATCTCTAGAAAACTGCTTATCTGCTTTCTATCACTATAAATTAGTTTCTGTTTTTAAAATTTTACGTAAGTTGAATCATAGAGTATTAACTCTGGAGAAGGAGATCTGGTTTCTTTCTCTTAGCATAATTACTTTAAGTTTCACCTATGTGGTTCCTGTATCAGAATTTCATTCTCTTCTCTTGTGACATTATAGTAGTCCATTGTTGGAATTTACCACCATCTGGGTATCCATTCACTTGCTGATGCGTAGGGTGTTGTTTTCAGTTTGGAGGTCTTACAAATGAAGCTGCTGCACACATTCGTGTATAAGTCTTTATATAGCCATAAATTTTCATGTTTTTAAGGTAAATACCTAAAAGTAAAATGATTGAGTCATATAGGAGGTTTATGCTTAACTTTTTTGTGTTTTTATGTATGCATGATGCTAAGAATTGAACCCGGAGTCTTGTGCATGTTAGGCAAGCATTTTTAACATCCTGCCTCTTAACTATTTATTTATTTTTTTTATTTTTTTTTTATTTTTCAACAAATAATACACTGCATATATTCTTCTTAGTGGTTAATTGCTGTACAAGATGCGGACTT